CCACAATTTAAGGTCAATTTTAGAATAAATGGGTCCCGATACTGAATCTATTTATTCTAAAATTTACCATCTTTTAATGTCGTTGGGAGTATTTTATTGCAGATAAAAATTAATATATAATTTCCTCTTTTAGTTCTGTGATCTATATATAGTTTGACACTGTTCCCTACAATAATAAAAGCATGTGCAGTTTCCTTTTTTATTTTTTAACAGTGCTTGTTTCAAAGGGTTAACAGTGCTTGTTTCAAAGGGTTAACAGTGCTTGTTTCAAAAGTTTAGTCCACTTTAAAAGGAATCCTTTTAGAATTAGAAGAAGAATGTTTTAATCAAATACTAGGAAAAGTGCAATTTTAATCCTTACTTCACCAAAAGAAGAAATATTTTTGTCCTAATCCTTTTAGTTAAAGAAACTTTTTCAGGGGAACTCCTTTGTCTGGTTTTGCTTTCTGTTTAAATTTATTTTTGTTTCTTCAGGTACCCTTGTATTTGAGTGTCGGAGTTTTTAAAACGGATAAATACTGGAAGATAGAACTAGGTTCGATTACAAAAGAACGGGCTAGCTGCATGGTTAGGTTTCATATTTTCCCCCATGTGCAACATGAATACAAGTCATTTACCCTGAATACAAGTCATGAATATAAGTCAGGAAGTCCTCCATGAAGGCATCACTCCCCTAACGCAGAGAGCCTTTCTATGCTTTGTCATATTCCAAATTAAAAAAACTATAAGTCTCATAACGGATGATATGATTCTAAGATTTAATGGCAGCCATGTTGAAAATGTTATCAGTACCACTCACTTATGTTTTGTATGTGCCGAAAATTCGCAGTGATTAAATATACTCTTCAAGAACATTAATTTTGCGAAAACAATTATCTTCTCAGATAAATCTCATTGATTGGATATGTTAATAAGCATGGTTGTCCGTTTTTATGTGAAAGCAGTCCATAAGAAATGCAAAAGAAAAGTGTGCTGACTGAAAAATATCACTGTATGGTGCTGTTTATACAGTGTCGAATTAAGACATTTAGAAGCCTTAAGCACTTTAAAAAGTTTGTTAAACCCACATGCTTTGGAGCCAGTTTTTTTTTTTCCTTTCTTCTTTCTCCTAGTTTTGGATTAGCTGCATCACGCATTCCATGGTAAAACCGGCAATGGAAAATATTTGGCGTGCTTTTTCTGAGTATTCTAAGGATCTTTCATGGTGCTCCTTTCCCTGATGCCCTAAGCCCGGGTTTATATTGCTTAATGATTAAACCATCACTAGGTCTATCGCATAGTGGCACTATCATACAGTGGCATTCGCATATCACATAGTGGCATTTTACCAAATTTTCCCCCCAAAATTAAGGAGGAGATCTGTTACAGTGCTGGTGAACGATCCCGATTAATGATAACAAATTTTTGTTACAGAATTTGTAGGGCATATTGTTGCAAATCGTGTACATTGTTCTCAAGCATCGAGAAAGCTATGTTTTTCGGCAACAAGTGAAGTTGCTTCAGAGCCGCTTTATAGTTCCCTCATTTGATAAGGATGATATTTCTTAGACAGCCGCACACCATCATAGCGCGAGCGAGCCCGCTGAGTTTGCGAATGCATTTGAGGTCCTGGTCTGTTAGCCTGTGAAACTAGTCCAACGAAAGACTAGTTCACGCTGCTATGATGCAGTTGGATATCTGACCTGAAATTGGCGGTAGCAGAGCAGATGATCACTTTCACGGTTCACTAAAAGCGATTATGCAAAGTTTTTTTTTTTTTTTTTTTTTTTTTTTGGTGCAACAAGCTTGGGTTTCGTTACGCAATTTGTATTTGATAATTAGAATTATTTGTCCTTGGAGAACGCTGTCATAGTTTCGTTAATGTCAGTGTTACTCACAGAAATGTATGCGAACGTCTGTTTTGCTTTGCTAGTGATGAGGACCGAACTGAGGATTTCTGCGAACGTGGTAAGCTGATTCTTTTGATCAAAGAAGATGTGCACTTGGGTATCAAGTGTTTATGAAGCCCGTCCATTCTGCCCGTCCATTCCATAACAGGAATAAACCTGGGAGTCAAAGTGTCCCAGGTTTATTCCTGTTATTGTTATTGTGGATAACATATTAAGCGTTCGCTATATCATTTTGCACATTAAGTACTGATTTTACATTATATTTTTTAATTCTCTAATACTGATAAATATCTCCGCTTCAAATTATTCCTGAAATGTGTTTTAATGTAAACTTCAGAAGCTTATACAGTATATATATATGTGCTGTATATTATACGTACTCATACACACGTCAGCGTAAAATTTGAAATATTGCTACACACTTTGTCATTTCGATGTATCACAAAAGTTATTTCGTTTCATTATTGCTAGACAAACGCAGAGCACAAATCTATCTATATGTTTCGTAGAACGAAGAAAAATTCTTAAGAAGTCAACGAAATGTATCGAAACATCGAGATACATCTATTTGAAATATACTCCGAAACGGCAGTCAAAATGATTTCAAAACTCATAAAATCGAGAAAGAAATATCTAGCGGTGTTTTTCCGAGCACATGAAATGAAATAGTTCGATATATTTCAAAATTCTGACAGCGGGAAAAGCGAAACAAAATTCTAGCCTTTCAATGGCTTTATTTTTTTTTTTTAACTAGATGGGACAGATAGCTCTTGCTTGTGCTCAAAAGGGGGAAAAACTGTATTTTAAAAAGATAAGGAAACTCACAGATATGTAAAATATCATATTCTTCCAAATCTATGCTTTTATGTTGGAATGAAAGGTAAACATGGAAACTACATTAGTTCGAAATAAAATGGGCATCGAAGTTAATGGATATCAAAGGAATAAATTTCAGTCTAGGCAGAAAATTTCAAAAATGACATTTCCAATAACGTATCAGAATTTTAAAATATGCTAAATAATATCATACAAAAAACATTTTACTCACTATAATAAATAATTTGTTGGACTGGTTATTTTTTATTGGAGAAGTAAGTCGAAGTGTGTTTCGAAACTTACTAAAAGAAACTAAAAACGTTCATTTGGTCATAAATTTAATTTTATAACTAAAGATTCAAAATGTTTCCTTTATATATATATATACATAATTGTTTCACAAGAAATTAGTAATTAAATAATATTGTAAATTAGTTCGCAGCCATAATAATTATTTTTATTTTTATTCCTTTGCAATTAAAATTTCTTAATTACATTTTATTTGCTTTATACGAATAGAGATAATTTGTTAAATTCAAATTTATATATGTACATATATATTATTATTGGAAATTTGATTATTTAGCATGCTAAAAGCCATAGTGTATGAGATGATGCCCTTTCGTGCAAAATTAATAGTTTTTGCTATTTGTAATTCAAACATGATTAATATGGGGTGATTATTACTAGAGCTACAAACAGAAGTTTCCCAGTTATTCTTCAATTGCAGTGTAATGTTTGGTAATAAAATTTAACTTTTTGTTACAGCCTGAGAAATTGGAAATTCATGATTTGAAACCAATGGAAATAAAAGACCGCTCTTCCCAACTAAAAGAGAAAAGCATTCAAGCAATACAAAGGAAGAGAAGTAGACAAATCTAAAAAGTTTCAGCATCCATGAAAGGCCTGGGAAATGAGAAAAATCCCGCTCCTTTCAAAAATATTAGAAAAAGAGACAGAAAAGAAAATGATGGATACCCGTTACTTAACTGGATGATGAATTAACACTTGACGTATCTATGAAGTATGCACTAAAAGGCAGAATCCCAATGACTACCATATAAGATGAGTAATGTAACTATTTTTCGCAAAGAAATTAGCTACGTAAATTAATAAAAACTTAGAAAATTTGCTCAATAAATATATTTAGGGAATTCGCTTAAAAAGGAAAAAGACTCTAGCCAAGTAGAATATCATCTCCAAAACTATAAATTCCCTTTACATATTTAATTGAGGAACATCGCGAAAACAGGAAAAAAATAAAGCAAATTCAGAAAGGTATCTCAAAACAAATTTGAAATTTCAGATAACTTACCGAGTTCAGGCAATCCAACAATGAAGGTCAAGTCTCTCACCAAGAACGAAGAAGTGCAACAAAAATATCTAATTATTTACTTTGCAAAAACTAGGAATATACAGGTAGTTTATTTTATCCTATTCATAGCATTATGCGATTAACAATCCGTATCAAAAGTTTCAATTAAAATCTCGTCCAATCCAATGTTGAATATAAATACTCTGAAACCAGACGCCCGCCTCTTCCGGTACTTATATTTTACAGTGCCAAATTATGTAAAATGTGTTTCAGGATGTGAAGTGAACTTTAGAAAGATGAATAAGCAACGTGTCTCTTTTGGAAAGGCTTAAATAACTATACAACCAAATTTAAAAGACTTCCAGAATACGCAAAGAAAAAATGGAAGTTCTAGCGAAAGAAAAATAATCATCCCAGACTTCTCGAGAATAGAATAATAAAAAACAATTCCCGACGTTGAAACAAAATATGAAGAATGCAAAAATCTCCAGGAAAATAATAAAGAGAAACCTCGAGATACTCTGGATAGAAGAAATATATTTATACCATCGTCGGCGCTGTTTGCTGGGTGAAATTTAATCCCGTGCTTATTTTAATTATGAATACGATGTGCATTCCAAAAAGAACACAGAACTTCTGAAGTAACTCTCCAACCGCCAGAAGGAACGCACAGCCGCTATTGAACACACGTAGCGGCAGGTTTGAACAACAAACTGCCATTTGTCGCATTTCACTCTGACCTTTTAATTGGAGGGCTACAACCGCTGAAGTGAACCCATGTACAAGCCGCTCGTAAGATTAGTGCCAAAATGACAATGAAAGAGCTTGAAGAACAACGACTCTGTGTGAAATTTTGCTACAAATAAGCGACGTGATATGTTTTTATAGCTATGATATTAAAGCGAAGGTTATGATATTAAGGGAAGGTTCAGCCGTCGCAGTGGAAGGGCAAAGTATTTTCTCGTCCAAAAAAAGTACGCATGAGTAGGCCAAAGATCAAGGTGATGTTGGTTGTCATTTTTGATTGCAGAGGCATTTTCCATCAGGAATTTGTACTACATGGTCAGGTGGGTTACAAGGAAGGAAGTGTACAAGGGATTACTAGAACGTTTAACGAATGCTGTGGACAGGAAGATGCCTTAATTGTGGAAAACCAATCTTGGATATTGCATCTTGACAATGCTACGACTCATGATTTGCTCTTTGTCCGCAACAATTACGTAAAATATCCAACTCCAGTTGTTCCCCATCTACTGTATTCTCAGATCCTAACCTTAGCACACTTTTTCCTGTTTCCCAGACTGAAAACTACGTTGAAAGGACGTCGTTTTCAAACCACAGAGGAGATTCATGACATTGCGACAACAGATCTGCGAGCCATTGTAGAAGGTTGCGCTCCAAAAATGGAATGGAGATCTTCCAAAAATGGAAGAAACCATGGGAATGGTGGATTAGATGTGTGAATCTGATGAACTCTTATCGAGACTCATTATTTGCTAAAGCAGTGGCTGGTTGTAATATTTTTTTCAGTGTAAAGATATGTCACTTTTTACGAGTTTCTATAACGAACATAACACTGCGCACATTCTTTTGGGAAATCTGTGAGCTTGTATTGCTCTATCGTGTTACTACTGGATTGAAAGAAACATTTGTTACATAAAAATTCATTTTTCATTGCAAAACTGTCCTGAAAGTAATGGCTTAAAGGAAAATTTTCTGAATGTAACAGGTTTATAATTTATGATACATGCGGAAAAACTGTAAAACTCCCATAAGCCGCAACGTTTACCAAAGCGTAGAACCAAAACAAAATTACCAAATGTCTATGTGTTTATCCATCAGACCATGTTGCGTGGGTAGGGGTTCGTAATAAATTAAATGCACAAGTCCGATGAAAAGTGAATAAAAACTTATTATCACAACAAATAAAACAAAATGCCTTAAATTTCCTCAGATATTCGTACAATATCCCAATATCACACAGTAGTTATTCTTTAAACCATTAAAATGTTCAACAGAGTTGAATTCAAAATAGAGAAAGCTAATTCGATTTAAACCTCGAATTCGATACAGTCATTAACAGCAATAAGTAAACAACTGAATTGAGATGTTCTCCTCCAGGTTTTTTAGGCTTTGTAAATCACGCACGAGAAACTTCTCGTATTTTCTCGATTCTTCTGGATACCAAAAGAATACAATTACAAGATATCTATTATTAAAATGTTAAAGGCTCGTGATCCTGTATTTGTAATTTTTCCGCGTAGCTTTTTCTTCAAATAAGTCTCGTTTTGCATTGCACGGGGATATAAAACAATTTTTATTAGAAATTTTACTAAAAATAAGCTAAATAAATACAAAAATCGTAACAATACGGAAAAATTGTAAAACTCCCATAAGCCACAACGTTTACCAAAGCGTAGAACCAAAACAAAATTATCAAATGTCTACGCTTTTATCCATCAGAAATTTTAATACTTCTGAGACTGTAATTAGTTAAAAACATGAAATTAATAAATTATTGTGGAGAAATTACTAAACTTTCATTTTTGCACCTCTTCTGTATTAAGTACACTAAAATTGTATCTGATGGTTTTACAGTAATTAATTAAGCATTTGTTCAAAAAAACCTGCCAAAGCTTTTATAAGAATGAATTTGTCAGTTATTACAGTGAAAAATGAGTACTTTTTACTTCCTTGTACGAAGTAAAAAGGAAGTATTGTAATCGCGAAAAGTTTCAGGCAGTATATTTCAACGAAAATATCCATTTTGACCGCTATCGAATGCAATTTAACGATGTTTTTGCGTGATATCTGTACGTAAGGACAGAATAAAATACTCTTTTCCTTCAAAAAAATTATAAAACTGCTTTAAAATTAATTCTGAAGAGAATTTTTCGTGGCGTCTGTACGAACGTATGTATGTACGTGCCTACGTACGTATCTCGCATAACTCAAAAACGAGTAGCCTCAGAACGTTGAAATTTTGTATATAGGACTGCTATAACATGTAGATGTGCACCTCGTATTTTGGTTGCAATCGGCCGCACCAAACGTATATAAATATATTTATATATATATCCACTCTGTTACCCGGCTCAGTGATCTCAGTTTCTTTACTCTTATATGTTTGTAAATTGTACATTTTTTTTGCTTTAAAAATGATTGAATTATGTTGTTTTTATCTTCCGGTTAAGGATTTTATGCCTTTAGTAAATCTGTGTGCAATATTTTTAGAATTATCAGCAATTTTAAAGTTGTTTAATTGCCGCTAAGCCTGTTTTAATGGCGGCCATTGATGTTTACATTTGAAACAGGAGACTAGTGGATTTGTTGCCAATCTAGAGAAACTTAGCTTCGCAACAACAAAGATAACGCATTCATTTATTATTGCCAATTAAATCATGCTTAATTCTTTCTGGAATTTTTTTCGAGGAAATAAGCGTTTGAGATTTACTTCGTAATTTTTAATATAGATATTTTGAGTTTTTATGTATTTTTGCCTTCTCGCGAAGTGAGAACTGAATTAATTAAATGAGAAATACTCAATCGTCTGTGAAAAACTGTTTCTTTTTTGTTTTGTTTGCTTAATTTCTTTTATACATAGTTCTAGCTTTATTATAGTATTTGAATAGAACATGTGGCAACGATTAGATAATTCTTTAAATGATATAAATTTTGTGCATTCTGAGTTATAATATGAACGAAATATAATACTGTTAAGTAAACCTAGCGCCAGAGTGTCGCTATGGTAAACAAAGTGAATTTTAAAGAATGCATTTATTCTATTGTGGTTTATGCGCTGTCGGCGAAGTAGGTTTAATTCAATCTAATAAGTTTAAATAAAATGCAAGAAAAAAAGCGAAGAATTTAATATTTCGTACAAGGAAGTCATGTGGTGTACACATCAGATTTTTTTCATAACAGAATCTGGAGCTTAGGAAGTCTTACCCACATATAACGTAAAAATTTATATCACATATAAGGTTAAAAAATATCTACACACAGTTCAGAAATAAATTTTCCTGAATAATTTCTGACTCTTAGGACATTTAGAATTCCATAATCTATTTGAAAATTAATACTTTAAGAAAATTTATCAGTTTTAATTTCTGTTAATCAGCAGGATTTCAAGAAGCCGCGAATACTGCTGCAATTGGTATGGTAACCATTTTTCCCCGCATCTGCCAAATGACAGCATTTATTGTTATTTTCCCACCGTAAAATGCCATCGCCTTAGGACACCATTTTTATGATATGCTAGTTTAGCCTTCCGGCTCGTACTTCAGTCATTGTTACTGTCTATGCTTCGAAGTAATTCTAAGAATCATTTCAAAGAAAAAATATTCATGCAAAAAAGCATCAAATGCTTAAAATCTTCGACCATGCAAAATATTCAAGTGTAGTTTTATGAATAGATAATCTTAATTACAATTGGAATTCGTCTGAAGAAAAGAAGTTTATTTTTTATCAACTCGGTTTGAGTTATGATTACAAATAAATATGTGCCTTTTAAAAATAAAAAGAATAAAAATAAATGATTAGAAAAATAGAAATAAAAAATAGAATAAATCCTTTTGATCTTCACATTGTCTGATTGATTTTTTTTTTTTTTATTTCGTTTAAGTTTTCCTTAGGTAGGAACTTCATTTATAGATAAGAATATGAAGTCGGAAGAATTTTTAGGTTATTCAGAAACTGAAGTGATTTAAATTAATCCTTAATGCAAATTAATGTAAATATTAAAGTAGAGTTCATTAAATTTTTGCGAATAATTGAAGAATAAATTACTGTTAGGAATGTCGAAAATAACCACAAAGGAGGGATATTTTTAGATTTACTTTCGCAGTTAAGTACATACTTGAATGTACGATATTTTATGTCCGAAATAGTGAAACATAAATATATTAATCCTAATAATAGATTTCTGTAAAAGAACACAGTTTGTCAATATCTGAAAATTATGGTCTACAGGACAAAAATTAATTCACGGTAAGTTTGCAAGCATTCCACTTCTCTGCGTCTAAAATCGGGCACCAGTCTTGGGAACAAACGCATAAATTTATTCAACCAATCTTTTTATAATTATTCATTGCCACTAAAAATAAAAGGTCATCTCAATGTAAAAAGCAGCAACGGAAAGACATTCCTTGCAAGTGAAAGTCCCCATAAGGTTCTCCTTTTACTTTGTTGACTATTAAAGCGCGAAATCACGAACATAGAGATGTAACTTGTGCAAATTTTCCGCATGCTATTTGTTCCTTTAATTTATACAAAATCAGAATTCTAATACCTTAAATAAGTTAGAACTCAACTTTGAACTAGCCTACTAAATAAAAGCAGTTACACGGATATATACGGATCGCTTTATTCAGACTACCAATTCTGCGATAATTCTATTGATTTTATTTCTGACATTATAAAACAAAAGGATGCTTGAACAGCACTTACTGAATAAGTTTACTCTTGAGCTACAGGTATGTAAGCAAAAGTCAGTGGGTCTATGACGGATGAAAGTAAATATATGAAATCTCCTAATATTCTTATCGCCACTGGATGAGAGTACAGAGGCTTCGCTCGCATGGTCATTACAGATCATACCAATTTATACAATGAACTCCAGATAAAGATTTATATTAAAACACTCCAGATTGTTTTTTGCACAGTAGAAAATCATTATAAGGGTCGTTAGGAGTTATCTGTTCTATTGGGAAATTTTTGAAACGAATTTCTGCAACGATGCCTAGATTGCAGAACTCTGAATTATGCATGACGTAACATCCTGTTTTAGACTATTTCTCCGAATGTCAACAGAAAGTCTGTTTCGGTGTGTACCACCAAGACAGACTAAAGCACCATCACATTGATCGAGCACATTGCGTTATCGTATAGGATGCCGGTAGATTCCAACCCCAGTTATGCATTCCCAGACATTTAGCAATCACGTATACATTACAGACATTTTGGAGGTCGTTGCTTGAAGGCCTGGTTGAAGTCAGTCCCAAACAATAAAATGTAAATGCGACAATTGTGTACAATATCCAATAGTCCCTGTGGGCCACCATGTAGTACCTGCTCTTCGAACCGCGCATTTACTGGAGCTGTAGTCTACTGAATAAGATCGTCCTTGACTCTGCAACCCTTAGCACAGCATAGACCACTCGCTGCGACAGCAGGGTAAGCTAAAAGAAACAACCAAGACATCTGGAGATGAAGCGGCCCTATGACATTAAGTAATGCACATTGACAACGACTTGTGGTTCGACTAACACACACCAAATACGTATCCAACATCTTTTACTTTGCATGCCGGACAGTATAGCTAATGGAAAATGAAATAGATTTAAAGAAGGCTTCCAAGGTATTTGCATGAATTTAAGGTTAATGCTGATAATGTTGAAAATATTTATATATTTTGCACGGCAGAATACTTTTAACATAAAACTGTCAACTTCTACGTACATTG